GCTGCCTATGGTCTACGTGGCATGCTGACGTGGCGCTGCCTCTGGTTTATGTGGCGCTGCCTATGGTCTACATGGCATGCTGATGTGGCGCTGCCTCTGGTATAAGTGGTGCTGCCTGTGGTCTACATGGCATGCTGACGTAGCGCTGCCTCTGGTTTAAGTGGCGCTGCCTGTGGTCTACATGGCATGCTGATGTAGCGTTGTTCCTGTCTACGTGGCGCTGTTCTTGGTCTTCACTGATGATGTGGCATATGCCACCTGTCTCGTCTGCTGATGTGGCATTGTCCACACTACTTACATGAGGTGACTGGTTGCGAGGGAGAGTAAGATCAGGATTGTGGAGAGATCGTGATACGTACCTGGTGGTCTTCATGATGACATTGCTCCAGCGCTGAAGAGGGACTAATTAGAAGTGCCACGTGGCACATTGAAATTACTTCAGATACTCGTTCAGATTGTTGATTACTGAAGTGAAGTTGGAGGAGGGAGCCTGAAGCAGGAGTGGGAATTCTTCCTCTCCTTTGTCTATCCTCCCTCCTCTCTTCTTCGTCTGTGAATGATCTTCTCGTCTTATTMTGTCTGGACACTATCTTGATTATCGGTTCTCATCAGCTGTTGACATCTATCTGGACTCGCGTTGTTGACAACTGTGTTCACGATCTGGGTTCATTACACACGAGTTCCACCAAATAAGAGCACAGCAAAAGCTCATCAGTGACAATGTTGGAATAGTCTCATCATCATCAACAAAGAACCAATGTCGACATCCTATCCGGCGCTCTGCGCCCAGACTACAAATGGCAGATCCTATCTAGCCTATCTACAATGCCGCTGGTGACGTCAACAGCTTCCCGAACTACGAGCAGATCTCGGACAATTCCATTCGCCTCAAGCACCAGGTATGTCTCTCGTATCACTCACAACCTCGATATCGAACTCACAGATGCGACATGCACCCAAGGACCAGCATGCGCCCCATCCAGCTCAGCGCAGCGCAGCTCGGCTATGGCTGCCTGCTTTCCCTGCTCGCCCGTGAGCGCGTGGGCCTGGCCAGCGATTAGCGCAGCGGCGCTTGTGCAGCATGCAGCCAGTGCCCGAATGCCAAATCTGGAGGCAGGCCCTTTCCTAAATGGACGTGGCCTGCCTGCTGCGTGCGGCAAGGCTGCACTGGGCCCCGGTCCAGAAGCTTCCGGTAGGCCCCGAGAGGCTGAGCCTCAGACTAAACGAATCAGGCCCAGGGTCTGTGGTGGTTACCTGTGCCCAACTGCCCGCAGCCTGTGTTCGGTCCATGTTGTGTGTCTGGCCCAGGGTCTACCTCAGTTACATACAGTACAGGCAGCCTGGGCCTAGCCGCTTTCAACCAACTGGCGCTGCGCAACTGCCTGAATTTTCCCAGGTTGCGTAGTAGTCCAAAATAGGCCTAGGTCGGGCCTGCCTTCACTTAGGCGGCCGACCTTGCCGATAATAGAGCCCAATAGGGCTTATCGAGGCCTTGTGCCTCGCATTCCCTCCTCCATACTTGGACAGTCCTCTGAGAAGTTCCATTACTCAATCTGGTGCTTTCCTTTTGCAGTAACTTCTCGTAGTGAGCGACAACCTGTGGAGCGGTCTGCATCAGTTTCTCCCGGGTGCACCATCTGTCCTCCTTAGGATCAATGTGATGTCTGAACCGAACGTGATATTGCAGCTTCGGTTTAGGAGGACGTCCTCTGCCTGTCGGTCTTGGAACTGGCATTTCCCTATGGTCCATGATGTCATCGATGTCAACCTCTCCATCCATGGTTGGGGACAACATTGAGCGTCGCAAGGGAAACTGATCAGTTTCCTCGAAAGGTGAAACGATTTTCACCTCTTTGCAGTAGCAGATGCAGATCCCAGGGTTCGATCCCTAGACCTTGCCCTACCTGTGTACAATACATGTGTAGACCCCGAGAGTTGAACCTGTGACCTGCGTATTCGTAAACAGTTGGTAGGCTGTCATAGGTCCGTAGGTAGCAGGGGTTCGATCTGTAGCGCTGTAGAATAGAAGTCTTTGCGAGTTCCAAGTCTTAGCTGTAGTCCTTCTAGAAGGTCAGCAAGTGAGCAAGTGGTGAGTCAAGTGGTGGACTAACTGCAGTGCAATTGCAGTACGGCCTCGGTTATAAATCAAGAGGCAGCGCCAAGCCATTCATTCATTCCTGCGTGAGCCATGCGGAAGCGCTGCCACAGCGACTTGTGCAAGGAGGTCTGCAGTGACGCCCGAAGCTGAAGTGGGCGAGAGAGAAGGAGCGTAGCATAGCGATAGGGTAGTTGCAGCCATAGCCGCCATAGCTAGAGTTAGTGTGTAGCGAGTGTGTGTGTGTGTGTGAGTTCAAAGAGTCGCGTGTGGGATATCCAGGGTGATCCGGTGTATGTGAACAGTGAGTTGTTTGGGCGCTGAGTCGCCATAGCCAATTGAAAGTGAACTCATATCTGGATGCCATATCTCTGAGTTTTGAGTGGGCGCATGTCGCCAGTTTGCTGCGCTATTGTTTACATACATGAAAAGTGTGAATGAACGCGAGTCTGATTGCAAAAGGTGCAAACTTGGAGGCGTGAAAGACTGGGTAAGTGTGAAGGTGACTAGGGGTCTGAATTATATGTGACGGCCCATCCGGATCATCCCCGACGATATCTATACCTCCCAGGGTCCAAAGTACTATGGCATGAGCTCGCGGGATATCCCGTGCTCTTGTCCCAGTTCTGAGGACTTGACCCAGACTCTGTCCCCTACCTGGAATGTAGATGGGCGGTAGTGCTTGTTCTCAGACTCTATCATCGTCGCCTGCGCCCTGTGCATCTGTTCGACAGCTTGCTGCATCAGGCGCTCATATCGATATGCAAACTCTAGGGTGCCTGGTGCAGCAGAAGGCTGATTCTCAGGTAGTAGGAAATATAAGGGCAGTCTAGGTTTGAAAGTCAGCAACAGACTGTTAGGACTCACCCCTGTTGCGCTGTGCACCGCGTTGTTATACAGACTGGCGATGAGAGCAAGTTTCTCGGCCCAGTCCACCTGATTGGGCTTGATGTAGTGCCTCAGCAGGTGTTGTACAACGTGATTCAGCTGCTCTGCTTGCCTGTTTGCCTCTGGGTGGTTCCCGGAGGTCATCTGCAGTTGTGTTCCCTGTTTTGCAGCTGCAGCTTTCCATAGTTCACTAGTAAATCGCACATCCCGGTCGCTGATTATAGACTTTGGCAATCCATAAATCCCTGATGCAGTTTTCTTTGAA